GGCCAGTGCCCGTCACTGTAAATGGATGTTCGCTTTACGCTTGGGGTCCCATGATGCTATTTTTAAGGACATATGCGATTCATTCTTGAGTACACGGTTGCTTATTCGCCGTTGCATTTGAGGCTTTCCTTCTGTTGGTTGGTTCAAGTGTAATGTTGTAGCTTCCCTTCATTTTGCCTTCAAAACTATATAAGCAAGGGTGATTTCATGTATAAGTCTCCTTCCGGCCCAGCTTTGCATTTCTTCTTGCGGTCGTAGGGTGAAGACATCAGTGGGGGACACAACAACAAATAATAACAGTAGTAGTAGTAGTAGTAGTAGTAGTAGTAGTCGTAGTAGTAGTAGTAGTAGTAGTAGTAGTAGTAGTAGTCGTAGTAGTAGTAGTAGTAGTCGTAGTAGTAGTAGTAGTAGTAGTAGCAGCAGCAGCAGCAGTAGTAGTAGTAGTAGTAGTAGTAGTAGTAGTAGTAGTAGTTGGCGAGCGAGCAGCAACGATCCCAGGTCGACCTCTGCTTGCTTTCGTCTATAGGCTCAAATCGACCCCGACTGAGCGCATACATAGCACCTGGTGTTTAATTGACCTGGAATAGCACGAACGGAACTCAAGCGGATGCGAGAGAAACAGCCGGAGGAAATGCTCCACACTGTAAGTTTTCGTCTTAACTTATTGGTCTTGTCCCTTTCTTTCAGCCCCTTGGGTAACTGGCTCACGATTTCACCCTGGCTTTCAGTTAGGTGGCGGTAATTGAGTTGAATGATCGGCAAATTTTTATACGAGCTCCTGATCCGCAAGGCTTATACACTCCAAATTCGTTCAGTGTATGGTTACGGACTGAAGCTACTACTTATTTAATTAGAAATATAGATGACGGTGATCTTGCCAGGAACGCTGAAAGGCATGACCTTCTCTAAGGAGTCCTCCTTCAGCAAAGTTCCGCTCCTACTTTTCTCTGCACCATCGCTGGTAGTACACAACTACCGTACCCTTTCGATCAAGCAGCGGAAGTGATTATTTGAAATTGAGGCGAAGGTCAGATAAAACAAGTCTCCAGATTATGCGGATCATTATCTGGGAAAATTTACTTTGCATCGCGTTGCTGAGAGCATGTCTCATTCGCATAATGAACTTAGGCGAAGCGGTCTCAGTAATTATAATGTATATTTCTCCTGCTACCAAGAAACCGTACCCATTAAGGGACGGATCGCAATTGTTTTCTATAGAAAGTTGCTAAAGGGGATGTGGGGCTGCTAGCCGGCGTGCATCAATGGAACGGCCAGACATCATGCATACATCGTAAAACTTTGATTCAAACTCATAGCTAGCCC